TCAAGCTTTACACAGTTAATGCCAACCCTACATGGGGTGACCTTCTGGCATTGCCAGTGGTACAATAAAAGCAGAATCAACCTCTGACCTACAGTATGCTGCATATGGAGCACAGCTGGTCAGTATGTTAGGATAGCTCTGATTTTTAGCCATGTCCCCATCTAGCCTCCAATGATTTGAGCCCACAGTGTCCTGCAGACACAATTACAACTACAAAATCACGTGTACTTATTCACACCTGCACTTGCACCCATTTAGATCTCTACCTAGCTATTTTATGGGTGCAAACGATTGTGTCCATGTTGAATTGCAATTGCTGTTATTGTGGGTGCCATGTTATCCCTGGAAAGGACCATAACTCTGGTAACCGGCAAATAAGCAATATTGTAATCACAGCAACGTCATTCACAAAACAGCTCCAGTCATTACTCTTGCTCCACTGAAGGGATATTAGATAAACTTGCTGACAAGGTGCTGGGTGCAGATCTGAGCACAGGATGTTCATGGCAAGAATGCACTGGCTAAAAGAAATCGTTCAAACATTCCATTCCATTTAAACAAAAGTGAGAAGCTGTTTAGAACTCTGTGTTCTAAAAGAACTCACTGTGTGCTCTTACACTTGTTTAAACAAAACATTCTATATGCTTTGTATTAAGCTTTTTAGTTGGTCTTCTAATCAGTTCTTTCAACAATCAAATCATTAATTTAATATTATGCAATGTATATAATCTGGAGGAACATGATACTGAATTAAAACATCAAATACATTTAGCTTTAAATGAAAACTATATAAAAGCATTTCAGCCATCAATCTGGCTATCACTTACAGCCAGTATGAATTCTGCTGGAAAAGCTATTTTCGTGCAGATGTGGAATTCAATGGGAAAGACTGACTCGTGTAGCAACATCAATCAAAATGTCGGCTCTGTTGGCAGCTATCCACAGTAAGGCAGGTTCAAAGGTCACAGGATAAAGAAAAAGCCAAGCTCTGGTTCAGCTCTAATATCTTCTCGCTAGAAGTCTTGCAAAGGTACCTACCCCCTTCTGTATCAGGCTGCTTTCATTAATCTTCTTGCCATCTTCTTTAACTAGTCATGCAGAACCGCTCGATAGCAAGACATAGAATGGGGAGGCCGTATGTCTATTACCGGGTTAACATTCTGTTAAGCCCCAGTGCAACAATGGAATAGGAATTTAAAGAAAACCTTAAACTGCAGGGTTCAATGCAGGCAATTAAATTACAACTTGAAATTACCAATATATTTGTGACCTACAGAACAGAATGCTTTTGTTTAACCCACTTTAGGATTAAGGCTACTCCAGCTAACAACAGCAATCCTTTTAGTTTAATAAAAACTAGGATGATAAAGAATCATTATTCAGTAGTTTGAATTTAATTAGCAAATGAAACAGATTTCTGCAGATCTTGGCAAGTACTTTAGGAATGGAAAAAAGATTCATTCAATTTGGAGACCACAATTTTACCAGACTAATTTATCCTCAATTCTACCAAAAGGCCTTTCTTGAAACTACTAATCCCCTCAAAACTTCGGTGCTTGATCAATGTTTTCTTTCTGCAGATGTTGTGGTAACCTGGTAACCCTAAACCTTAACAGGGACAGCAACAGCATGCATCGATCACAACCCACACTTTGTCTGTAGTGCACTTTTTAAAAATAGGCAAGGGTCTGTGGCACTGAAGTTTTACTTGTGTTCAAATAATGTAAGACAATAACATAATCAAATTTCCTTTAAATTACACTATTGCAAGGGGACAGAATTGTATTAAACCTATTACGTTGTTTCCTTAAGACTTTATATTATGTACCCTTAATTGAGATACAGAGCTCTCTTCAGCTATAAAAATGACAGCTACTTTATTAAGGTTTAAATCTTATTTCTTAATGATGGGGTGCTTCCTTTCAAGATTCAAAACCTGCAGAATCTTTTGTGATAATCAGACTGAACTTGATTTAAACAAGCACTTTATACAGTGTTTGCAGATTCGAATGGTACTGGGTTTAACTAGTAAGGCCATTACCTCTTCTCCCTGTTTGAATTCATGAGGCCTGACTTAATTTTAATTCAGAAATAAGACACTAATGCTGGCCTAGTACAAGGGCACACAACAATTCTCAGACATACCCAGCAAACTAGAAATTGAAGCTATTTCAAAACAATTCGATATATTTGCACATTGACTTTAGTTAGATGCAGCCCTAAGTTTTGTGAACTTGTGATAAGAGAAGTTTCAACTCCTTACCCCAACTCCCAAAATTCATCTGTAAATATTCAAAAACTTGATCTCTAAAGTTGCAAAGTTCCACGTCCTTTACCACTCACAGGGGTATGGCTATAAATCTTCACTGCATGAACTTACTTTACAGCGAGACATTTGAGTTTAAAGGAAAGGAAGCTATACTGTCCCCCCCACCCCCTTTATACCCCATTGCTATTTAGACATCTTTTCAAAGAATTCTCTCTGGAAACCCTAGGGTCTCCATACTCTGCAAGACCCAGTAACCGTAGCCATGTTAGTTACCTGCATACTTTTGGGAAATTTTTGCATACATCTTCAGTCACACTGATCACAATGACCAAACTGCTTTGACTGTAGCACTCACATTAACATGAAAAACTGGCCATAGTTTTGAAAAACATCGCTTTCTGTTCAGAGCTATGACAAGTAAGTCTAGCAGTGGAGTGAACAACTTCATTATAATCCAACTGCTAATGTCTACAGAGAGCAGTCAGTTTAACAAAACATCCGGTATGTTTTCACACAGTATAACTGTAGGGCACTGTACAGCCACTGTTACATGTTGCAGTGTGCTTCTGAAAGACCAGATGGAGCACGCTTGTGTTACAAGAGATAAAAACACGGAAACAAAATATATTGCAGAACTCAAAAACCTTATCTTTTCTCAGCCTCTTTCGTTGTAATAATTCATTCAAGGAAAGCCCCAAGAATAATTTTTGATGTAAACTCTGCTACAAACATATATCACTATGCTGATAAAAATCACAGGCAAAACTTAGGAAATATAGTGAGTTTCATTCCTTTACTCTGCTAAAATAACTTTTGGTCTTTTAAAATTTAATAGATACTGATCTGCCACTAAGAGTGCCCCAGAATGTATCATCCTGGGATGTCACACCACAAGTCTCTTGTATTGCCCTAAAATAATGCATTCCGGGGCATCTTTACTGGACCTGGTAGAGGTGCAGATTTCAGGAAGAAGAAAAAGAATTATTTTCACCCTTTAAAAGTAGATAAAATCTATTTTAATGTGGAAATTGTAGGGATTGTGATGTGAAGGGAGAGAATCAAAATCTCCAATATTGCAAAGGTATATTTGCTATCTCCCATCCGCAGCCCAATGTCCACCACTCCAAGCCATCTTCTTGCTGGCTACTTACTTCTCTGGAAGGAGTTGCAGTTTGTTGTAGTTGGGCACAAGTGCTACCTCTGCGGTGCTGACAGTCCCAATAGACTCCCCCCATCATTCCAACTGCAGACCAGATGGAGATCTTTTGGATGCAAACGAGTTTAGGGACATATGACACCTGCTAGGCTAGTGTGGTATCAAGGCCATGACTTCTGTGACAAAAACCTAGACTTTCAGGACTGGATTTTGAGATACAGCCTGTTTTTGGGTGTGTGCACAATTTTGAAACCACAGTTTTTTGCCACGGAAATTGTGGCTGCAAACCCACAAGTGTATTTATGAAGCTGGGTTGACACCTGGCTGAAAGTCAAGCCTTCAAGGATTTTGTCAAGAATCGCACATTTTGTCACACCTGTGGCTGACTGGTGAAGAGAAGGTGAGGCAATTTCAGACTGCCTGGCCACTAAGGAAGCTGTACCTCAGGATCACACACACACACACACACACACACACACACAGAGTACAGTGACAACTTGCTGGAGGGATGGGGGAGAACGATTGGCTTGACCAGAGATACAGAAACAGGGGAGGCGAATGAAGTGGCGATTCCAAGGAGAATATTAGCATAATCTTTAATAAAAGCTGTGCACCCACAATCTCATCCCTCCAAAGTAATGTGACAAACTCATTACCCTAGTAAGTGCACGTTATGTTTTCTCTATCTCACTGCTACACTAAGGGTCTTTTACTACCATCAAACAGAGCATGTATGTAATAACATCTATAATATATAGAACTTCTTTGTCGTTTTGCATCGCTATGATTTGGGGTCACTATCAACAACTATCTATTTTTCGCCTGTGCACAAACAGCTTGTTGTCCTGTTTCTTCTTTTAATAATCGATGGTACAAATACTACAATGCAGCATTCAACCAAAACATTCAGGCCTTAAGCTCAACCCAGACCTCACTTTGCTGTCTGGTGAAACACTGTTGTCCTACTGCATGCTTTCCAGTTACCAAAGAAATCACTTACTGCCCTGGTTCTTAAATATGGCCACTGTTTTGCTGAAACTGAATTCTCTGAGTCAGGTCATGATCTCAACTGTACTGACCCCAGGACTGCAGCTATTTTGGGATGTGCTGATATGCTGTGTACATTTGAGATTAAAATCTACCTCTAAGAACATGTGTTCTTTAAATTCATTCAAGCTGCTACCCACAGGGCTGCTACAATAAAAGTTCAAAAGCAAGTGCAATAACGTTGGGAAATGTATCACAGCCAAGGGGTTAAACCTTGGATCACAGGAAATAGCAATTTCCTGATGGAACACTATTGGTGGATACTGATGCCAGGACAAGAAATACTTAAACGGGGTCAGACCTTCAGTCTACAGTAAGTAGCACTGAAAGGCCCTCGTTAAAATGATATCTGTACATAACACCCTCTACTATAATACAACCAAGTCCGATATAAAGAAATTTCATATAATGAATAAAACACACCTATGGAAAGAAAAGGACATGGTGGCAATATATTCTCTTGGCACCTAGCACATACAGCGGGAGAGAGGGAGAGAGCAGAGAACATAAATAAAAAGCACTACTCACTTGGGCTTTTTTCTTCCGCAAGGTCACAGGCGCAGAGGAGTTCAGAATCGATCGAAATGGGTTTCTGCTTAATCCAAAACTTAGTGCTGGCCTTCTGATTAGTAACAGGGTCTATCTCTACCTTGTCTCCAGAGATACCTGAGAATCAGAGGGAATAAAAAGCACAACAGTGGATTGTGTAAGTGATTTCATATCAACCATTTGACACACTTTATAAATCGTACGTAGGATCAAAGTATATTGTCCTTTTGGGCTTTTCAAAAGAGCAGGAGTGTTTGAAGCCAAAAGCAAAGTAATTATCAAACTGTATATACATAACCTGTATGCTGCCCTCCTAGCTTGCTAAAAAAGCACTAGAGCAAAAAAAGAAGTGTCAGGAAACACATTTCACAAATATGTAAGCACAGCTGTTCTGAGAGTGGCTGCTAAATGGAGTATAAGGTTTACAGAAAGACGCACCTCCTGTGTTGTTTTTTTTTTAAATCACCACTATTAGTAAATATATATATTAGTATATATATATATAATATATAAATATTAGTATATATATATATATATTTACTATCTCAGATGACAACATCCACTGGTAGTATTTGTTTGCTATCCAAACAGATTCTTCCAAAGGAGGATGTCCAGTCCTGGAGATTGTGTGCATTTTTACACTTCTTGCAATTTAGAGCCAACCCTAATTAGGTAACTTTGAAAGCAAGTAATGGATTCTGTAGTTCCTGGCACAGAATTTGCCTGTTTATGGGCATGGGCTTCCCCAGATGGCTGCATACTACACTACTATGTGTCTAGGTGAACCTGGATGCACACACAGCACAGTAACACTCAGGGGAAGAACATGGAGCAGAGAATCCTATACTAGACAAATCCTGAGAGTGACTGTAGAAAATGTTAACGATATTATCCCTTCAAATTTTATTTCTGAACTTGTGAAAGAAGGAGCAAGGAGAGTTAACGCTGTGCTGGAATCTACCCTGCAATACACCCTGTAATTTATGGCAGTCTTTATCACAGTATTACAAAGCAACAGCCTTGCTGTGCTGCACTGAAGAGTACAGGAGCTCATTGTTTAGTTTACAATTACAAGTCTCTGTTGACATGACTGAACAAGCCTCTCTCTATCCCTTTCATAGGGAGACCTGTGTGGAGCCTTAAAAGTAATTACATTTTTAGGTCATGAGTTACAGGTCAAGGTCACAATGAAATAGGGAAAATGGAGCAAGCGTATAAAAAGTATTTAAAATAATAACATGTTGCTGCTGCTTCTCTGGGAAACTAGCAGAGATAAACGTTTCCCTTCTAAGGCCTTTGGTTCAGATACTTTGGAAAATGCTATGCCAGGTTTGGCTGGAGTGTAAGGAAAACTTATTTAAACAGGAGATAATAAAAGAAAAATATGATGCTAGGTTAAAACTATCTATCTAAAACCTCTACCTTTCCCCTCTCAAAAATGAAACCCCAATTGATACTTAAAAATCCGTTTCATTTGTACTTTATTCAATTATAAAACCAAAATGCACAGACAGCAAAAGGCAGATGTACAGAGCATGCATGTTGCTACGGTCCTTTGCACAAAATGTAAAGTAACCTTCGTTTTAACCCTGGTCATTACAATATGGTTTACAGAATGCTACAATTTTTACTTTTTGATTCAGCAAATGCATCAATTTGTCCTTAAACATCCCTCTCATCAGAGATACCATATTTCAATTAGGCAGAGTGTCAAGAATTTAATTGATGGTAGAAGTGTTAGACCTAGATAATTTGAGCAGACTGAAGCTATATCAGGAGATCCACTTTATTAGAAGATTTCACTCTAGAAAAATTTTATAACCCAGTTTTATTTTTTATTTCAGTGTAATCAATAATTGGCCAAAATCTAGACATTTTCTGCCTCTCAAAGAAAATTATATTTGAAGTTGTTGATGAGTTTTTATTTTTATGCTTGAAAAAGTCAAGACAAGTTCTACAAAATAAATGTACAAATCCTTTATGTGGAAATAATCCTTTTCTTCCTCCCTGCCTAAAGCAAACAAAATATCATCGCCACTGGAAACAGCTTTTAAAAATTTCATTCTATGGTCCTGCAACTCCAGAATTCACACAGTCAGTCAATATTGTTAATGTACCTTGTTAATTTGATCGGATTTGTCAGGTAACGCCACTGGAAAATTATATAAAACTGTTCCAGATGAACAGATGATAGTGACATGAATTAAAGTGATAGAACAATAGTGGAATATAAACCAGAAATGACACCCAAAGTGGCTGCTGATTTATTGCCATACTGAGTTTGGTTCTGGGCTTCCATGTATATTAGTGCTACAAATCTGGGTCCATTTAGCAGAGAGATGCTCATACATACATCACCAGCTCCTGCTCCAAGCCAAGGTCACTCCCCATTGCATCAATCTTTTCAACAGAGGCTACTTCACAACGCATGGATTTTGTAACCATCTCAGATGTAACAGACTTTCCTCCTCTTTCATCTTTCCTTTATCATGTAAAATACACTTTAACTTCTATTATTTTTATCTGTAAATTGTTGCTGTATACTTCATCTATTATTTCTGTATCTCGGCATCATTTGCTTTAGCCTGCACACATCCACAGGAGCACATTCTTTGTCAATGCTGTCTTTTTGTGTGTTACTGTGCTCCAATATGCATGTATTTGAACCCAAAATCTGAGGAGTATTAGCTAGTTCATAAAGCTTATGCAGTTTCTGCTTTACTGTCTGAATTAGTCACATTCACAATCAAGTTAAATGTATTATTCCTTTCCAATTTTCTTTAATGCACCTATTTTAGCAAAACAAATGGTATAGATACAACAACCCAGCACTACCGTTTTGTTCTTGCTGTTTTCTTTGCTAGGATCTGGAATGGGCCATTTTAATAACATACTTTGCCAGCAATAATTTTTCAAATCAATATGCCTCCTTTAGTTTTGATAACATAGTGCACATCTTTTCCTTATTGCACGCTGGAAACTGAGTAGAAATGTTGACAATACAGTACATGTGCATTATAATGTGACACAAGTTAATCATAAAACCCCAGACCCTGTGACTGCTGTGACTAAAGCTTTCAGCTCTAATAAAAAGTCAGCCACAGAGTGGTCATTTCTTCCCTCTATATTTATATAACTCCTTTTAGCATCAATAAGAATTACACGCAGGTGTATACATTCCTGGGCATTCCTCTCAGCTCTCTGGATAAATCCAGAACCAGATTCTCTCACCGGCCTTACAAGGTGCAGTGTTTCTCAGAAAATCAAAGGAAAGAATACACAGACACTTACAAAATGTAGCTTATAGCAGGGTTCTCAACCGTTTTCTTTCTGAGGCCCCCCCAACATGCTATAAAAACTCCATGGTCCACCTGTGCCACAAGACCTGTTTTTCTGTATGTAAAAGTCAGGGCTGGCATTACGGGTAGCAAGCAGGGCAAATGCCTGTGGCCCCAAGCCACAGGGGGCCCCCGCAAAGCTACATTGCTCAGGCTTTGGCTTCTGCCCCTGGTGGCAGGGCTCAGGGCCCTGGGCTTCAGCCCCATGCAGTGGGGCTTCGACTTTCTGCCCTGGGCTGCTGCGAGTCTAATGCTGGCCCTGACTGGCGGCCCCCCTGAAACCTGCTCGTGGCTCCCCAGACCCCTGGTTGAGAACCACTGACTTATAGTATCACCATTAGCCACCCTGCTTTACATAATCCAAACTGCTCCTTTAAAATGTTTATTTCCTTACTGGTGGCTTTGTACAGGCAGTTCTAGTAAAAAAATGGACTTATTGACAAGTACATTATTACAAATATAAAGCTATGCAAATTTAGACAGCGGCATTACTCCATAGCCAAATTTCATAAACTCTTTCAGTAGAGCATCTATTACACTATATGCAAACGCATAGAACCTATTTGTGACAGGGTGTATAGACCCCACATTGCTAAGGAAGGTGCCAGACAGGCCTTGTGTGCGTGGCTAGCCCTGCCCCTCTGACCCTGTTAACCAGGTATGGTAGGGAGGAGGCCTTTAAAAGGGAGGAAACGGCAGTCAGCTGGAGGAAGAGATCACCCTGAGCAGGAAAGTGCTGAAGTGACTCCTGAAGCCACAGGAGGGACTCCCGCCCAGGACATCTCTGCCCTACTCCTCCCGGAGTGCAGCGATCCCCCAGGGTAGGCCTGACAGAGCAAACCTGATTCAACAGCCCAGCCAGAAAGACTCCTTGAAAACTGCTACACAGACAGCCCCGGAGTAAGATGGCACTGTTGGCCTTTTCCCCTTTGAGCTGGCTCTGGGGAAAAAAACTATTTTTGAGTGTGCTGGGACATTTACCTTTCCTTTTGATTCCCCCATCAGAAGAGACTTAAGAAAACCCCAAAGGGTGAGATCCCCCGCGTAAGAAATAAGTAACTGGGGCCGGTGTCTAAATCACCCAGTGAACATAACTGGGCGAGGCCAGGGTCTCCCACCATTTGGGAGAAAAACCTACGGGGACACTTACACTATTATCTAAAACCAACCAACCAGCCAACAAAAGGGACATTTGCTATCTTCAGCATATTTAACAGACCAAATGTAAAATTGTGCTAAGATTTTTTTTCATTACTGTTGGGGCCCTGTTGCACATAAAAATATCCTTCCCCTTAGAAAGGTTCTACCAGTTTGAGGGAGATTTCCTATACTTAAAATGGGAGTACTGGTGGAATCGGTACTCCTACTCAATCCTGAAGGATGTTTTTAAGTGTGGTCACTGTACAGTCCAATGTTTCCTGGCCAGCATGTATATTCCTGCAGTACACTGAGAGTAATCAATACAATCAATAAACGAAGTCATCTAATGACTTCAGGTTCTCAGTACCCTCAGGAAACAGGTTTTTCCAGGAAAACTGTCACTTAACTATTGCTAATATATAATATGACTGATGAATGAAAATGCTGACCATCCACATGCTATTTGGCACTGAAAACCCTAAAATCCATAAATACAAACTAATATATGTATTGGCTCTGACATTTCACATTCAATGGAGTCTATTCTGCCACCACACAGCAAGAGGATTAACACATTTAACTCCCATTAGTTCTAAACAGCACTGACCCTTAATGTTTACTTTTGAAAGCACCGATACATGAATAACAGAAAAGGCTCCAGTAGGAGAAATTCCACATACATATAGTTCTTATGACCTTACTTGGGAGTTTTTGATATTTTCCATTTGTTCATACCTTGAACACCTCACTGGGTTTTTGTTTTTTGTTTTGTACGTAATTAGAATATAAAAACCCACTGCAATTTGTGCAGCCATCAAAAATAGACACATGCACAGGGTGCTACAGAAGGTGAGTAAGGAAAGTTTATGGTCCATACACTGGTGGATGGGGTCAGCCCCTTTACTACGAAACAAGTTTAGCCATTCGTTTCCTGTAACAGCTATTCTCCCTTAACCATTTATCTTTAGTGATCTGTCATGACCTTTTCAAGCTCTCATTTCTGACAGCTTCCAGACACAGTGAGTCAAACTTCACTGAAAGCAAACTATCACACCCAGATAGTTTACTCAAGAGCAGAAAACATGCCTAACACTGTCCTACTTCAACACCAGCATATAAATCCTTCCCTAACAAGACAGTTCAAAATAAACTGAAAAAGCTTCCAATGTACATATTTGCAGGGGAATATCATTTTTTTTACGTGTTCAGAATTGGAGTAATAAAGAGACTAACGGTAGTAAATAACGAAGAAATTTTCAAATTTGTAACTATTCTACTAAATAATACAGAAAAATATTTTGTAAGCATTTCAGCATTAAATATTTTTGTACTGAATCATTTTTAATATAAAGTATTTGCGAGAGTATTATAGTTCACTTATCCATGCATCATTAAATCAAATTTCCACAATTTAAACCAGAGACTATAAAAGCCCTATTATTGTTAAAAATTAGTAAATAGCTTTTTTATTAAAATCCTGTCATCTTTTAGCCTTCAGGTTTTGCAGAACATTGAGAAAGCTAGAAAGGCTAATGTTAAACCCCTTACAGAACACTAGCTAGATTTTGTTCCACTTCACCATTAAAATCTACTGGCTTAATAAAAAACTTCCCTAATTTAGCATGGACTGATTTTAAGAAAAGACAATTAATCTGCATGTTTAGTCAGCAAAAACCCTTGCTTTGGAAAGCACAGACAAAAGAGTCACTAAATAATGGTCTTCTTAGACAGGGAATATGTGCCAGCTGATTGAAGATAACACAAATACTTAAATATTGTCAACTGATGTGCTAAGAAATGAGATATCGTTCATATTTATTTTGAGAGAAGAGATGCCTTTTACTGTACTTCTCTGAAGCACAGATTGACAAGCGGGGAAGAAAGAGCAAAAACCTATAATTTAATTCCATTTTACACAGTTTATGTGGGTTTTATGTCAACTTGATCTTTTTGACAGTAAACAATTAGTAGCAATATTAAACACTATATTGTATGGTCAATTAGACAATGTGGTGATTGGGCATTTTTAATGCACCTATGTGGACAGATAACTATTTGAGGTGGCTGAAGTTTTGAACTGCTCTACTTTCCTTGGCCTTACAGTATAAATTGATTTACCTAACTGAACATCAGTTGTGAACCGAAGCCTATGGATCATGCTGACTTTGAAGGACTTGTAATGGTGGCTACTAAGCATATCTTGAACTGTAGCTATATCGATCTGAGGATCTTCCTCGGAGATCTCTTCTCCTCTTGAACCTGCCAAAAAAAAAAAAAAAAAAAGGGCTTAAAATGTGGCACATATAATTAAATTAGAATACAAATATTATTGTCTCTTTTGCAATTACAAATGTATTGTTTGGTCAGTCGTAGGCAATCATACCAGCTGGTGTTTTTTTGTTTTTTTTTATTAAAGGAAATTCACAATATCAGTGCCTACGCATCAGAGGTTAGAAGGAAATTCTTAGTGTTAAATCTAAAGCAAAATTCTTCATTCACTACAAGCTTAAGATATTAAAAAAACATTAGGGTGCCACATAAAATCTGTGGAAAATCCTGATGCTGGATTCTAGTGAGATGTGGCCATATCCTAGAACAGACTTTGCTAACTCGCAGATATCCCACAGCGACTGGTTGGAGTCACTTTGTGAATGCCCTGTGTGCAGTAACTACAGAGACTCTGCACGAGACAGCTGTAGTTCCAAGAACAGTTTTGCCAAAAGAGAGTTCAATGATTAAGCTAGTAGGAGCTCTGCTAAATGGCGATGGCTGAAGTAGCTCTTATCTAGAGGTGGGCAAGAAACTATTTTCCCATCCTATGAATACATTCAAGATTTCAGAAATGTTTCCCCCACCTGAATTGGGACAAAATGTCAACATTTCAAAATTGTTCATAATTTGAAAATCTTTAAAAAAAATTCAGTTTGGGTCAATTAAAATGTATTGTTTAGATAATTCTGAAACATTTTATTTTGATTTTGACCACTTAATTCTTTCAAAAATGTCAAAACGGGACATTCTGACAAGCTTTATTTTTTTCCCCAAAATTTGTGAGAGTTGAGGAATTTATCAAAACTGATCCTTTCCCCATAAGAATTTTTGATTTAAGCAAATCAGCATTTTTCAAAAAAATATGTTTAATTGAAAAATTACCAGCCAGGTCTGGCGTTATCGTATTTTACCAGTGACTTATAGATACAACAAGCATTTGGATGTATCTATCAATATCTCTTTTTTACTATATTTTTCCCCACAGTGGGATTTAACTGTAGCATTAACATCTTTATATTTCCTCCCTCACCTACTAAAACTTTATTAGTCTTAACAACGTGAGTGGTATCTTGTTTCTTATACTCAGCTCTAAGATAAAAAGCATACACTACTGATTAGTATTCTTATTACTACTGTAGGTACTAGCTTTAGAAAAGGTAACATCTCATTAAGCCAAAATGCCAATTACTGGGGAAAAAAACATTAAGATTTTTACATTTGATGATGTTGGATTAATATCAATTTAAAAATTACTATAATGGGACAATTTTTACAGAGTAATTTCATCTTAGCTGTAAATGATAATTCAGATGCTTTTAGAGAAAGTGGTGCATAAATATGGTTGAAAATTGATTTAACTTCTTACAGAAGATACTGAAGAATGACACATTTTGTTTAATACACCAGCTAATGTAGTCCTAAAAGCTGAAACAACTGCCAGTCCACAGTCCTAAATTTGCTGTGGGAGATTAATGAAAACTTATATTTTGCTGAAATTTTAATAATGGGCAGATGAGACAATAGAATTTTAGTAGAGGTCTTAACAATATAGTATAACCAGCAAAAGGCTTGTCATTTTCTATAGATTAATATTGTTCAAGACTTACGTGGTTGGATCTGGCTCAACACACTAATGCTTCCTGCATTGACCTTCTACACTCTGGTGGTGTAAATTTATATCCCATTTGAGGATTTCAACTTATAGTGAAACTAGAGAGTTTCCATATCTGGAGTCTGGTAACAAGTGGAGTACTTGCTTTTTAGAAAGGACAACAGCTACCAGGGAGAGGAAAGCCCTGGCACTTGAGTCAAATACACACTGCTGATGCAGAAGCAGGCTTCCTTTTAATGGAGATAATTTGGAGTTGCAGAACTGCATCCTATTTGTCTCTGCAGGTGCTGCTATCACAGCCGTGGAGAGGAGCAGTGTAAACTTAGAGGGAAACAATAAAAACCTCAACACTCAATTTTTCCCACTTGCAAAAAATTTCCCCTTTCAGTTTATGAATTCACACCCAGATTTTCTCGTCTACAGTACACATGTTCACCTCTGTGTTCAGAGAACTTAAGTGCCTACAGCTAAATGCTTAAAAGTACACAGTGGAAAAACCATGTTCCAAAGATATCAGCCTAACAACCACCTTTCCAACTATCTTCCCCATGAGAGAAAGGATTAGACTTGTGTGTGCCTCAGCAACACACAAAACAGCTACTTGGCATTACAATCTAAAGGGTTTTTTTAAATCTGCAAACTGGACCATCCCATTTGGATATTTTTTTTAGCTCCAATAAAATGGCGTATATGAGCATGTGAATTTGTGCATACCCATCTGAACATTGTAACCACTCCACACTACAGAATGACAAGATAAATTGTAATGGCTCCTTCAGAGACATTACAATGTATTTTGTCAAAGACCCTTGTGTTAATGTCTCTATTCTATGGATTATCATAATGTATCATGTCAAACACTCATGGCGCAGTATTTCAAAGATACACTGAGATATGTCAAACTTTTGGTGCAGTTAAAAGCATTTTGAAACACCGTGGCATAGAGGTGCCTGGAAGGAAAGCAAGGACTATAATGGAATGGATTGCCTTAGGATCAAAAGAAAACTGACTAGGAATAGAAGTTAAAGGACTGAGTTCAACACATAAACCTACTGAAATGCCAATGTAGGGCTGCCATGCATTCCTTCAATTACCCAACTGTGCTTTAACACTGCGCTGTTTCAACCATCAAACTGTGTGCAGTGTTATGATACAATCCGCAGAATACTGTATTGCTATTCTGTGGTCCCGTATAATATAGCCTGCAGCCATATCACCTTGTATCAGATTTCTAGCTAAGCATGGCCTGCCTGGGTGAGTACTGGAATAAGAACTCTCCAAGGAATACTTAGAGGGCATAGGAAATTGTGCTGGTGATTCAGTACTGGCATTCTTCATTCGGAATGAATAAAGCGCAGATCCTGACCACCTGTGGCTCTTCCTGGAAGGTGCAGAGGTGTTAACCCAGTGTCCTGGTCGTATTCCTTGTTAGGTCTGGACTGCACCTGGGGTGGGAACTAACCTTTTGCCTACTGCAGTTTTCAGACAGGTACAGCATTACCTCAAAGGGCTGCACTACCTAACCTAAGTTGTTGGGTAATTTTACAATTCACAGTTAGCTATTTGTTATGTTCTACCCAAGAGGTGGCTGCATTTTGGTGGTGGGTGAAGACAGTCCTATGTTCCCCTAAGTTTAATACTTCAAATAATTGGTTCATGAGGATGATGTTATACTAAAGGTAAAATGTGTGGACTAATAGCCAAACCAATCTGATACCTAGTCAGAAATTTTGTAGTAACAAAAATAAAATACTGATCTCCTCTAGAGTCTTTAATCAAAGGTTTCTTAAAGTACTTTATAAATATTAACTAATTAAGGTTAAAAAAACTGGGCATGTTTAGACATCAGAAAGAAGACTGCGGGGGGACCTGATGATAGTCTTCAAAAACATGTTAAGAGGTGTTTTAAAGAAGACTGTTTCAATTGTTCTTTATGTCCACTGAAAGTAGGACAAGAAGCAATTGGCATGATCTGCAGCAAGGGAAATTTACATTAGATATTAGGAAAAACTTTGTAATTATAAGGATAGTTAAGCACAGGAAAGGTTACCAAGGGCGGTTGTGGAATCCCGATCACTGATGGTTTTTAAGAACAGGTTAGACAAACACCTGTCGGGGATGGTCTGGGTTTACTTGGTCCTGCTCGGCGCAGGGGAATGGACTAGATGGCCTCTCAAGGTCCTTTCCAGCCCGACATTTCTAGGATTTTATAATTAAGACTCACAATACAGCCTTGTAGAGTATTAATCTTCTGTTCCCAGTTTCAATGGGTGGCTTTCCACAAGTCATAGCCTCTCAATCTGTGTTTACTCATTTGTAAAATGGATAGAAGAAGTGTCTCTCTCAGAGGGGTATTATGAGGCTGAACTTACTCATATATCAGATCCTCAGATGAAAAGTCTGTATAGAAGGGCATGTTAGTAGTGTTATTAATTCTTTGACTGATTAACTAGTAGCCACAACCAAAATCAGATTCAGGGATAACATTTTCATTAGAATTTAAAATCTGAATTCTTTGACAAAGTTTAAATGATTAAACTGGGGGATTTTATATTGGAAATATTTCAGATCCTCTGTAAAACAGAACAACCTCTACTAATCTTGTTTTATTTGGCTATGTGAAGAGGACAGTTTAAGGTTTGTCGAATTTCTCTAGTTGCTGATCGTGGGAGAGAAGCCAGGAATTCCACCATCAGAACAGATCATCTATCTAAAGATGGCAAGACATTAGGACCCCTGAGGGTGCAATGGATAATAGCAGTAATATCAGTAACAGCAGAGATAAATTCCCTGCCCAGAAAAATCCTGACTATAGAACTTGGCATATTGCTCCTATACCTGCAGCTTTATCAGAATGTTGAGGAGACCAAAATAATTCAACAGAGGAAAGAATCATCTCCAAGCGCTGACTGGAGACACCATCATAAGAGATACTTGCCACACATAAGCAGCTGTGAGTAAACCTGTCAAATATTTACAGGCCTGCTGGGTGTTTGAAATGGAGATCACAGTGTAGTTTTTGAATGTAAAAGCATCTACTTGGCAAAGCAATCAGCTCAAGTGGACACTCCAGGCCTAGACCAAGAGTCCGTTCAGCAGTCTGAAGTCAGAGACCAAGACTATGTCTACACTGAGCACCTTACAGCAGCAAAGCTGTGCTGCCATAAGGCATGCTGTATAGCCGCTCTTTGTCGGCATGAGAGAGCTCTCCGGTCAACAAAATAAAGCCACCCCCAACATGGGGCGGTAGCTTTGTTGGCAGGATCCTGCCGGCAAAACGCTGTCCACGCCAGTGCTTTTCATCAGTAAAACTTTTGTCAGTCGGGGTGTTTTTTATTCAGAAAGTGCAGTATAGATGAAGCCCAAGTATCTCATT